ATCCGAAGAGATCGTGTCCTTCAAAGACAGTAGACTGTTATTTCTTTCTGAGGGGTTTCATGCAGAGCTGGAGAGTTCTGTAGATTCCGCCATTCTGGGCCTATATATAGAGTTGCTGATCGGGACGCTCAGATCTAAGAGGGGAGCAGTGTTACGAATATGCTTTCGGCATGGCCATTTAACCGATGCATCTCGAAGGATCGAGAAATTACCGGTCATATATCAAGCGCTGTCAAATTCCACCCGTCGTCAGATAACGAATTAGAGATGGGACTAATCCTGAATATTCTCGAACATAGTAACTTTGGTATATATAGGTAACGAAATTAGGAAGTTAAGTTTAGTTGATAAGATAGTATCGAACTGTAAAGTTATAAATAAATATATTTATATAAATTCGAACCGCTCGTTTTATTTAATCACGCTACAATATATTTCTGGAACCAACAAACACTTTCAAAGATTTAGGTGTATTTTTTGATCCCACTTTATGTTTCAAAAATCACTATAATTTTATTTGTAATAAAGCTTTTAAATTACTTGGATTTTTGAAAAGAACCTTGTCAGAATTCAATAACCTAGATTGTTTTAAAAGTGTGTATTGTTCTATGGTTAGATCAGTTCTGGAATATTCCAGCACTATTTGGTCTCCTTTATATAAATGTCATATTGAAAACATTGAGAAAGTTCAGAAAAAATTTTTGCGCTTTGTAGGCTATAAATTAGGAATTTCTTCAGAAGATATAGTGTATTGTGACATTTTAAAATTACTTAATATACCAACATTAGAAAATCGTCGTTTAATGCTAGATTTGGTTTTTCTTTTTCAAGATTGTAAACGGAATGATAGATTCGCCTCAAATTTTGAGAATAGGTCTTAGGGTTCCTCAAAGGTGCACAAGATCCAAGGACGTTTTTTACTTAGAATTCCAACAAAACAAACTATTGTCTAAATAGACCTATAAGACGAATGTGTCAATCTGGAAATGGTTTAGATGTAGACTTTTTTTCTAGCTCTCTGAATAGCTGAAAAAATCTTTTTAAAATACAATGTAGGCTGTCACTGAAACTGTCATTTAGGTATTTATTCTATTTATTGGTCTTGTGTAAATTGTATGTAAATATTATTGAATACTAAACTGTTAATATGATATTATTTATTTAATGATTATAATTATTGTAATTGGTATAACCGTAAATAAACTATTTATATTTATTTATTTATTTACATATTTATTTATATATTTAATGACAAATAGGAATTAAACAAAAAAGTGCTGTCTTTGCAACAACATATGTTAATCGTTAATTACTAACGTTTAAAAAAATCTTCAATTTTCGTCTGCCGAACCAAGCCTACCCGTTTACGAGCGGCTAGGTCGCGTATTTTTTTAAGGACAGTTACTAAGCAAGTAAAACCTTCTGAAGCACCAATTATGTTTTCATCTTCACTATCTTGCATAATTTGGTACCCGGGATAATCATCGTCGAAATCCATCCATTGTTAAACTTCTTCATCACATCCGCCGCAATTGAGTTTTTTAGAATATCTGTCATTTCAAACTTATCTTCCTGTTTTTTTTTTGCATATTTTTTTTTCACTAAACATAAAACTTTATTACACGCTTTTTTTAAGTTCTGCTCTTTTACACTGTTCCATGCTGCTCCGATCATGTAGGACGCATCCTTCAAATCAATTTTTCCATGATTTCTTATCAGGCTTTCTTCTTCCTGTTCTTCTTTGTTCAAAAGTAACTTACACTTCATCTAATTTATATAACGATGCACGTCATCGGCGTCATAGCCTGTGACGTCACATGATACCAACACAAAATATTTAGGGTGTAGGTGTGTTCTTTTTTAGAATTACTTTACCGAGTACACTGGCATTACAGCCACTAGACATATTTTATTATATACGCGTAGAAATAATATTTAAAAATTTCTGTTAATGTTACCATAAAGAAATATACAATAATATGTATCATTTAATTTGTATAAATGCATTATAAAGTTTTTTATATGCATTATTTTGTTTGGAACACAGTGTAACTGTAATCGAACGAAGGTAAAATTTTGGCATAAATTGGTAACACTTATTTGACAGTTGCGGTGTTGACACTTTTTATACTTTATTATTTTCAATTTTAAAGTGAATATCTCCTGTTTTATATTTTTAACTACATATTTAATAAAATCTGTTCTTTTTAGAACAAAATTAGTGTGTTTTATTTCAAAAATGTCACGTAAGAATTTAAATAGTCGTTGTAAAGAGATGGTAATACGTTTGCAATAATTATGTAATCTATTTGATTTAAAATGGAGTCAGGATTTTTTTATACTTTGGCAACTATGTCAACTTTGATCTCTGACCTAGATAATGACGTAAGTCGTTATCTAAATTAGATGAAGTATACGTAACAATTCTTTTCTATAAAACCGTTTGAAAGTTTCAACAATGCCTTGATGAGCTGTAATAATGAAGTCACATTAGGTGGAAGACACATGACTTATAAAATCGTCTGTTTCGTTTTCTCTTTTACCATTTTTTAATTGATGGGCTTTAACGGAGGGTATAAAAGCTCCTATAAACCATTCCATGAACATTGTACTATTCATCCAAGCACTCTTTTGCGAAGTATAAACGATGGGCATCGCATTCATATTAACGTGTTTAAAACAACGTGGTTTCTTGCTTTTACCAATGACAAGCATGGGCAATCGGTGGCTGCCAGTAGCATTAGCACAAGCTAAGGCAGTGATATGATCCTTGCTTATTTTAGTCCAGGTATTGCTAATTCATGTCGCGATGCAAGAGTTTTTCGTGGCAAAGCTTTTCCAATTGAGCCCAGTTTCGTCTGCATTGTAAACGTTTTCGAGTGCGTAATTTTCTTCCTTCCGTAATTCACTTCAGTCTTATTTTGAATGACTTTGCTGCTGATGAATCAGTAGATACTTTTCCTCCTTGTATTTGAAGCTCACTAATGCCATGTCTCGACTTAAATCGTTTTAATCAGCCTGTGGTTGCTTGAAAATTTGACGAACCTCGGAGTTTTTCATTGAATTGAACTGCTTTTTCACACAGAGTCGGACCAGAAATAGTTCTCCCTGGGATCTTTTTTGAGTAAACCACTTATATACAGCTTCATCTAAATCTTGCTGGGATATAAAGTTACTTATGCTCGTCTTCTGTTTTTTTATATCCGTAATGGTAGATTTAACAACTTTGTAGTCAGTGGATAACTTGGTTACAGATTTACCTTCCCCTAACAGTTTATTAATATTGTAGCATTTGCAATTCATTGATTTTTTTGGTGTATATTGAAATCGCCTCGTATATGTAATATATTGAAATCTCCACATAAATGTTTAAAAGATCGAAGAATATTTTTAATGTATCTTTCTATCGTACGTATAAAAACAAAAATAATATTTCGTTCTTTTCAGCGACGCCAAGTAATAAAAACCATTTTAGAGTTGTTTATGTATTTCGCAGCTGCGTATGTTGCTCAATATTCTTTGATTTAAGCCGCCCGAAAAACTACGTTTTCAAATTAATAATCTACGTCTTAATTTCCGTTGTGTTTTGTTATTTTAAGTTATGCGATCAATTTCTGAGGATAATTTCGTTACTCTCGGTAAAGCGGGCCGCTGATTAAGGCGTGTTCAGTTTTGTTGGAGTCAAAATTTATTTTCAAATTCGAAATCTTTTCGTTTTCCTTTTCTTGTCATGGAAATGTATCATGAAGTGACAGTAACAGTTGGATACTTGGTATTGAGCAGTTTTACATTAGTTTTTGAAGATGGCCTCATGTTGCCATTGTGCTGTGCCTGTTCCAGTCTTTGAAGGAGACGAGTTTTAAAGGTTGTGTTCCAGCAGGTGCTGGCTTCCGCCCTCATCTTCTTATCCCTGATCGTCATCCCGGATCTGCCATGATTCGGGCAGATCCGATCTTGCTGTATAGTTCCAGCATGATTCCATTTCCCGACCCCTAGACATGCAGAGTGAAGTTTAGTGAGGTTCAGGTAACTTTTTCTGTGTCTAAAATTTAAAGTCAAGATAGACATTAAAAAAAATAATTGTTTTCATTGTTTAAAAAGATAATTTTTTTATTTGTAATAATTTTTATATTTGCCACAGTTTATACGTCGGTAACATTTGTAAGTTTTTGTAGCATCTCCTGAGTTTGTAAATCAGTAGAAAACATGTAAGTTTTCTTTATTATTTTTGTAAGAATCTCTGGAACTAATATAGCATCTTTTGTGCTGTCTGTATTTGTGTAACTGTTTGTGGTATGACACAAAAATAAATGTTAAATTTTGTTTCTTAACATTTTGTCTATTTTTTTAAATTAATCCTTTTTTTTCTTTTCGAATAGTATCCCAAGTTATCGTTACAAAAATGTCGCCCAGATATGTTTTGATTTTTGAATAATTTTTTTTTTGCTATTACAACTACTTGTTGTAATAGTTATAATTAGGCACCTCAAAGAGGCTCCCTATATTAAATTACTACAGGTGTTTCCTGTTTATATTTATTTTGTATGTTCCAAGAGATTAATGACCCCTTTATTTCATTTTTTGTAGTTGTCCCATTCCAAATCCCTTTGCCATTTACTTATCCACGACCCCAGTTCTCCTAACAAACCCTGAGTGCCGTTCGCACAAGTAGCGTTTATTTTGCTTGCTCTATCTTTACCCTCATAATCTTACCCTGAGGTAGGCAAAATATTTTCGTTACAATATCGTATTTATCTTTCACAGAAAGGACAACACGCTGTTTAGGCATTTTCTATCAAGAAGTGTTTGCTTTTGTCGCGAGAAAATTTCGTTTATCTTTGTTAACTGCCGAGTGACAATGAATGAATGAAACAGCGTCTTGTAAAAATTGTGGGTGTCGGGAGTTTGGATAACCGGTCGTTCGGTTGATCGACGGTCAGATAATAGACGCTCTACTGTATTACAAATACGATTTAATGTAAATTTAATTATCTTTTTAGATTTTCCGAAATGCAGTCGCTGGTAGATTTTATGTACAAAGGTGAAGTAAATGTGACTCAGGACGACTTGCCTTCATTACTGAAATCAGCAGAAGCTTTACAAATCAGGGGTCTCTGTGGATCAGATCAGCTCCTCAATCCGACTTACTTTAGCAATATAACAAAAGCTGCATCTTCACAGTATCCGGGTAATCCACCCACGCCCACAACAGTGAGTAAATTTCTTTTTTATCTTTATTTTTATTACAAAATGTATTAAATATGTATTCAAATATTAACGTTGTTTATATTAACATCGATAATTGACTTTCCAAGAAAGTCGGACCAGGATCTGTTGTTGTTACTGATAATGCGTCATATCATAATGTAGAAATTAAAAAAGCCCCACCAGTATATATTGGTTGACAGAAAAAAATTTACCATTTGTAACTTCAATGTTAAAACCGCAATTGTATGAAATCATCAAACGACACAAACAAGATCATATTCAATATAAATTTGACAAAGTGCTGCAAAAATGTGGACCTATTTCTTTAAAACAGCTCCATAAACGCCATATCATCCAGACTTAAACCCTGTAGAAACAGTTTAGGTGCAAAACACAACGTTTATTTTAAGTTAGAAGACGTAAAAGTTTTGGTGGAACAGGAATTTGCTAGAATAACTGTAGATAACTGGAAGAAAGTGTGGGAACATGTTGTCAAGGTTGAAGATAAGTATTTGGAAAGTGAACGTCGCATAGATGTAATTACTGAAGAATTAAGTATTGATTTAAATGATTCTAGTGACGACGACAGTGCATCTGATTATGAAAGTGAATAATATAATTTAACATTACGATGTACCTATGTGAATATAAGTTTTCTAAACTGTCCTGTATGTATGTATTGTTTTTTTACTTTTTTTTACAATCATTTCGTAGATATATTTTTCTAGTTAACTTTGTGACGTTTAAGTGAGTAATAATATAAATTATAAAGGTTTTAAATTGAAAACAATCTTTGTAATTAATATTCATTAATACTGTAATCTGTAATACGTATCTATGGTTTCACATAGACAATATGTGAAATGTATGTGATATATTAGATGTAATAATATGTATTAAATTGTAGTACAATATTGCCAAAAATATAATCTAATACCATTGTTTACTAACTTGTGTGTATGTATCTTTAACAATTTGATTTAAATCATAAGTATTTTTTGGAACGCCACTGCTTTGTTTGCTGAGGTTTTACTTTTACTAGAAATTTTCGCCACTACAGTGTGTAAAAGCCAAATGGAATAAATTCAGTATTTAGGTTACTGTACATATTTATCAAAAATCCCGAAACACGTCAAATTTAAATTATAACTTGACATTCTTTAACGTGAAAATGCAACCCCTACCTTTAACCCCTTAGAATGACAGGCACAACCCCAATTTTTAAAATAGGAAGTATAGGCTTGTGATATATCGTTTGAAAGGTCTTTTCATTCTCCATTCAAAAATGTTGTCGCTTTCAAGTTTATTAAGATTAATTAAGATAAAATAAATTAAAATCATGTGGTTACTGAAATTCGCTAAAATATACTCAAAACTTATTTCCCGTTTAGGTCTTGATAATGAGAAAGTGAACAAAAACCATATCAATGTGGTTTTTAGATGGTAACCATTAAACCATTAAAAAACTTTAAAGAATTTCTGTGGCAACGTTATTTTAACACGCATTAGTAAATTGTTTTATTTGAGTTGTCAATATTTTAATTTAAGTAAAAAGTTCGTTCAATTCAATTCTGAAAAACGGTTAGATTAACGGAAATGCATAAAATAACAGTTTTACAAATGATTGGTTACGGAGATAACACCCGAACACAACAGGAAGTAACTCGCCTATTTCATGAGAAAATTCCTAATTTACCGCCTATATCACAAGGAACAATAAGTAAAACAGAGAAGCAGTTTCGCAAGTTTGGTCATGTAAGGCAGATAAAAAATTCGCTGAGTGATGAACTCACATTAGATGTGTTGCTTGAGTTTCAGGAAAATCCACATACATCGAGTAGACAGGCATCCAGTACATTCAATGCTAGCCATACATCGATAGTAAACATATTAAAAGAAAATAAATTGCATCCATATAAGATGATACCTACTCAAGAGCTCATGGAAGACGATTTTGATAGAACTTTTTTTTGTGAGTAAATGATGGACATGTTGGATAACAATATTATCCAATTAGAAGGCGTTATGTTTTCTTATGAGTGTACTTTTTCACTTAACGATCATGCTAATCGGCAAAATTGCCGCTACTGGGCCACGGAAAATCCTCACTGGATGAGAGAAGAACACACTCAATACCCTCAAAAGGTTAATGTTTGGGCAGGGATTGTAGGAAACAATATCATTGGTACCTTTTTCATTGAGGGCAACTTGAATGGCAACAATTATTTGGCACTACTTCAAAATGATGTCATTCCAACGTTGGCAAATTTATATCCTGATCCAGGAAACCCTCAAGTTCCAGCGAATACGATATGGTTTCAGCAGGATGGAGCACCACCACATTACCAACTTAATGTCCGGCAGTACCTCGATACAATATTTCCCAATCGGTGGATAGGGAAGCGAGGATCGATTGAATGGACAGCGCGATCACCTGATCTTACATTATTAGATTTCTTTTTATGGGGATATGTGAAGACCCATGTGTACAAAACTAAACCTTCTGATTTAAATGACTTAAAAGAACGAATAACGCTTGCGATTAGGTCGATCACGCCTGTTATGTTGAATAATGTTAGAAGACAGTTTTATTTAAGATTAGGATGTTGCCAAGACGTTCGCGGTGAACATTTTGAACATTTACTTCATTAACATTCATAGTTCTTTTTTGTGTTCTACATTTTATTACGTTTTGCATTACATTTTAGTTTTTGATTGTATTGTAGCGAATTTCGGTAACCACATGATTTTAATTTATTTTATCTTAATTAATCTTAATAAACTTGAAAGCGACAACATTTTTGAATGAAGAATGAAAAGACCTTTCAAACGATATATCACAAGCCTATACTTCTTATTTTAAAAATTGGGGTTGTACCTGTCATTCTAAGGGGGTTGAAGGTAGGGTTTGCATTTTCACGTTAAAGAATGTCAAGTTATAATTTAAATTTGACGTGTTTCGGAATTTTTTATAAATATGTACAGTAACCTAAATAATGAATTTATTCCATTTGGCTTTTACACACTGTATATGTCTTGGTAGATTCCTTTTTACTGATGTCTAGTACTCTCCAATATAGATTTTTATTTATAAAAACGATAGATCGTATTTAAAAGCCATCACATATTATTGCTTATTTTTTTAGCCACAAGTAGGATCTCCCGATCCACTGGAAACCAAATTACAACCATGCCAGGTTCCGATGAACAAAAGCTGTGATCTACTACCGGTGAAGAAAGAGCCCAACCAGTTGATAGAAGGTTCTGATAGTGGAAACAATCATTCTTCATCAGAATGTGATTCAAATGACGGGATGTTACAAATAAAAGGTGAGATATTTTGCTTAATACCTTTTGGTTTTTATAGTATACTAAATTTTCTATAAAATAAAATCTATAAAAATTCATCTATGGGTCATTTCCTTTATCAGTTGGCCCAACGTTAAATTGATAAGAAAATTAAATTTTAGAGAACAAAAATAAAAGCGCAGCGTAAGTTTTAGAAGTTTTAATACATCGAACATTTTTGAATTTTCTATTGTAATAAAAATGTGCTGAATGTAATAAAAAAAAATGTGAAAGTTTAAAACTTACATCCCTTTTATTTTTAATGACATCCATAATTCTTCAAGGGATGGTTTTTACAAAGTTTTGACAAAATTCTAATGTAAACAAATCCCATATTTCTTGCAATTTTTCCTTCAATTCGTTGACGGACCTGGCAGTATGTTTTCTCAAAGCTTTTTTCATTTCACGCCACAAAGTCTCTATCGAGGACAAGTCGGTACTGTTAGAAACCCATTCCAGAAGTGGTATGCCATAGTCTTCAATCCATTTTCAACTCTTTTTTGAGGTATAACAACGTGCGCTATCCTGTTGGAAGACAAAATCTTCCGCTGATGTTCAACGGTGTTCCATAATCTGTAAAAGAGAGTCTTCTAAAACATTCAAATATTTGTCCGTGTTTACAATTCCATCGATAAAATGTAACTTTCCCACACCTTTAGACGACATGCTGCTCCAGATCATGACAGATGCAGCATAGATTAGAGGAGGGATAGATAACCTACTCCTGTACAAAAAAATGTGATCATCAGCGCCACGTTGGAGTGTTCTGGTACTAATCAATATTTTTATCATGTTGGAGAGCTTGCTAATTGACAAACGCCTTGTGTAGTTGGTCATATTGTAAACGCGTGAAAATTGAATTTCTATAAAGCGCGGGAAATTTTGAATTTTGTCCTAACGTTCATTTCATATATAGGGTAAGTTGGTGAATACCCTATACTCGCGATTTGAGGAAAGCAGATAATGCTCAAGACTAGATCAACAGAGAGAACTCTAATCCTGTTTATATATTCGAATAAATGTGACAAATTAGTTCTGAAAGTTTTCAGACATTAGATTAGACCAATAATTTTCATTTAATCAAACTCAAAACATGTAGTAATTAATACATAATATTAAATTAATATGCTATGAGAGTAGGAATCATAGAAGCCTGTACTAACTTCTAACTTAACTTAAAAAAAACAAATATCCTTATACCACGCCTTAACTAAACACTTAATATTCTAATCCTAAATACGATATTTCAATATTCTAATCCTAAATACCTAATTCCTTGATCTAACAGCACTTTTAACTAAAACACAAAAACCAAATATTGAATTAATACTTAATCATCAACATCAATATTCGACATTCGAGAATTATGACAATAATATTCGACAGACGCCAGTTATGAAGACATCGCTATTTTAGCACAAAACATTAATAATGTTTTGTGATCTACAGAATTTACCGATAATAGCGCTTGGTGGTGTGTTCTGTAACTAATTCAATGATTACATTTTACGGATTGAAGTTGAACCCCCCTGAGATGCAGGAAATTTGACTTTTCGCTTCAGACAGTCGATATGGAAAGCTTCATTTTTCCTGCTAATGACGCGACTCCTACTATCTCCAACACCTACTTCATCACTCCATTATATTGAATCCCATTGCGACTGAGTCCGATGTTTATGCTCTTTTGCCCATCTTAGTCTATTTTTCTTTTGTTGTAATGTTAAAAGTGGATTTTCCTTAGAATAAAATAAAATGAAATTTATTAAAAATAATTCGTACTAATTTTTTCAACTATAGAACTTACTTTGTAAGTACCAAGTCCTAATTTGTGGGTTTTTCGGTGACATGTTGATCTAGACACGTGTTTTCCAATAACGTCTCTCCATAAAGCGCTTCGTATAATTTCCTCGTCGATTTTTCAATATAATGCGTCTTAATTCTCTTCGATCTGCTTCGGTTATTTTGCGTTTTCATACATTGCTAGGTTTTGTAACGAACGAACTTGTAGTTTTGTATCTTCTGTCTGTATTTCTTACAGTATAGCATAATAATTGCAACACATTCGCGATTTCCGAATTGGATTTTCCAGAATATACAAATCTAATAATGATTGAACAAATTTTCTCATCAATAACTTTACCTCGACCCATTGAACATTCCACAAACGGCAAAAAGCTTTACAATACTACAAAATACATTTGACATTAACTGACAATATTATCGTTTTGATGTTATTTTTCCATAGCTACCTCTGGATTTAACGTAATTATGAAAAATCAATGTATGTTGACATAAATCAATGCATAGCCAGGGTTTAGTGAATTTTTTTTACTGTTGAAAATAAATAGAAAACCATAAGGGTAATTAATGTTTGAGGGATTCGACCGTAACTTGATGGAAATTCATTTTATGTAACAATAAAACACTGAAAACTTTGTTTTCATAAAATTACCCGTAGCGACACGACTATACACAATTCATCATCCCATCCAACACAACATAAACTGGCAGCCTATCATAGTATGTTACATAGATTAACTCCAGATAGATTACATAGATTATTCCGATGTCAAAATACATCTTTGAGACATAATTAAATATCATCAAGCAAATAGCAGTAAACAATGTATACAACGAACAAACAATTACTAAAATGTTAAATCCAAAACTACACAAGAAATCCCTGAAATTAGTATTTCCACCACCAGAGAAAAAACCCAGTACCTTCTGCTCGATTACATATACAGGCAAAATATCAACAAAAATAGCCAAACACATAAAAAAGAAAGGAATAACACCAGCTTTCCGAACAAATAACAACCTAGGCAAATATATCAAAAACAACAAGAGCCAAAATAAAGAACACTTACACAGTGGTGTGTAAAAATTTAAATGTGGTGACTGCCCAAAAACTTACATCGGTCAAACTGGTAGAAACTTTAATAAACGAATAGCAAAACATAAAAGGGCTTTCAATAATAGAAGAATAGATTCTACATACGCACTTCACCTTCTAGATCACAATCATTCTTTTAATGACGCATTTAAAATTCTTCACATTCAAAATAAAGGCCTTAAGCTATCCTTGTTAGAATCTATGGAAATCAACAAATAAAAAACACAGATATAATTATGAATGACCAACTTGATACAAACAGTTCTCCCCTCATCAACCTATTTCATTAGAGACTATAAAGTGTAAACGCATGCCACAAATAGATCACTTGAGAAAGGCAATCAGCCGAAACAGCTGTAGTGATAAGAGGCTAAAATAAAGTTTGTGGAAGTTTGAAAACAAAGTTTTCAGTGTTTTATTGTTACGTAATAATAAATATTAATAAAAATGCCATATTGGCATAAAGTGGCAATCCTTTACTAACAGTAGCAAAAGTACATACTGCAGTATATATCCAACTCTTACATCTACTCCTCCAAGTGACAGAAGTCCCATCTCTCGGAAAATTTATACTATGTAAGTTAGATGCCTTTTTGGACATGCTACAGTAAATGCTTACTTATATAAAATAAAACTTTCTGAAACTGATATATGTGAATGTAATGGCAGTTATGACGATCTTAACCACTGGATGTTTCAATGTCGGTATAATCAAGAAGCCATAACATTTTTATTTCAAGCCATCTCTCAAGAAAAAATCATTCTGCCGCAGAACGTTGCTTCTATTCTCTATTTAGGTTGTCGAAATTCAACTATAAGATCAATTTTATGGTAATTTTTCAAACGTACCAAACGGAAAATCTAAACTGCCCTGTTCAGTGTTGTTGTGTGAATCCGAAATGGTAGGACGTTAGTTGTTGTATTTCCCATTGTCTTTCCTTTTATGTCATTTACCTTTAACCGTTGCCTGTATTGTTTGTGTTAAAAAAAAGTCGCTATGAAGGGCACCTTAGCGTGAAGCGTGTGTTCCTGTTCAATCCTTTTTGTATAGTCACACAATAGTGTTTTCAATGGGAAGGTTAGGAAATTGAGTGAATGTGGTGCGAATGACCAAACGGTTAGGAAATTGTCATGAATTTGAAGGAAGTGTAGGAGATTGTTTTTATGTGTTCAACCTATATTGTCTTGCTAAATAGGTCTTGTCCCTAAGGCCAAAAAAAAATGCCATATTAATTATTAATATGGAATCTTGTAAAACATGCAGAGTATAATTGGTTTATTGTAATCGACTTAAACTGCAAATTCCATAGATGGGCTAACTGATGTGGGAAGGGGCTCGTATCGCATATTGTGGTTTAGTATATACGACTGTAATTTTTAGAAGATACCATATTTTTATTTTTTTTTTATTACAGAGGACGGAGAAGAAGAAGGAGATGACTCATTTTTCGAAGGTGAAACCGAACTTATGGATCAGGAATTGACAGAAGAAGAAGGAACCATAAATACAGATATCAAACCTCAGTTTTCAGCCATTGCCAATGTTTCTTGCCAATACGATTCATCACCAGGTAATGCATATTCTAATATAAGCTAGTACTAACACAAAACAATAACAGGCACACACAAAACACACACACACACACACACATATTTTTTATTTATTGATATGTTTAAACACTTTATTTAATGGTAATTAATCATAATTTTAATTAAAAATGCTGCATTTACATTTCCATCTTTTATTGGCACGAATTTTTGATACCTACTATTTTATTATATTTTTTTCTTACTTTGTTTTTTAAAACCTTTGATTTCTTCTCTTCCGGTTGTTTACATTTGTTTTGATAGTACCAATTTTTATAGTTATTTCGCCTCATTACTTTTTTTTCTACTGTGTGCGTAATGTTTTAATATTATACCACATCCTGCTTATCACCTTCCAATTTAGATCTTTCCTCATTGCCACTCCAAAGATCTTTTATATACATTCATGTATATTTGACTTTCCAGGGTCTCTTTTTTTTATGTCGAGGCCTTGCTTAAACAGGTACTAAACCTTCCTCTGAGCCGCTCACGCTCCCTCGCTAGACTTTTTCGGTTCTTGTTGAGCTACATCGTGGAAATATAGCTTGTAACATGTTGCAGTTGCATAATTTCGAGGCTGAGTTGTTCCGCTTCATTGTTTTTCCTGTTTATGTTCGATTCTTGCCTCACCAGAAGCTAGGAAATATAACCGTGACTCCCAGAAGAGCTCCGCCTAGACCACGATATCAGTCGTGTTCACTTCATAGAATTTCAGATTAGACTGCGCATAAACTCACTGTCTATATACACTTCACTACTCTCTTTCGCATGCCGAGATGGACTTTTATAACCGTCCATGGAGACATGGTATTTTAACGGTGGAAAGAAGGGACGTATTTTATTGTGTCGAAACCAAATTTCCATGTTGAGAGGTAATAAAGTGCCGTCATATCTTGTTGAGACAATCGGGGCGTTTTTCGAATTCAATGGCTTCTTGGATCATCTTCAGTTTGAAAAAGTAATATTAAAATCTATTTTATGACTTGTTTGGAGGTTATGCTGGGTTAAGGATGAAAGAAAGTCTGAATTGAAGAGTAAAACAAAATGTTCGTAAATTCTATTTTGAACTCTTCGAATGGTTTGACCTATATAAGTTGTCGAAAATTTTCGAAGGAATTTCATAAATTTCGTATTGTTCTTTTTGGGGTTTTCTTTAACGGAACAAGAGAATAAAGTTTTTAGTGATAAGTAAAGATTATTTGCATATTTGTTTTGAGAATTTTATCATATTTTATTGGTGACGTCTTTGATATATAAACCAGACAAATTAGCTCTATTTTATTTTAAAAAACTGCAATCTTTTTTTATGGTGTAAAGTTTTATGTTATGATGAAATTGGCGTTGCGCGGGGGGGGGGTGGTTAAAAGGGGATAAACAAAGATTTTTATATATGATTAATAATAACCTCAATTTTTAATTTCCGTCTAGATTTGAAAAAATTTAAATCAAATAGATATAATAATATGTTAATAATAACCTCAAAATTACAGAGAAAAATGAAGAAAATCGTCTTTTTTCGCTGTTTTTGTTTTTTCCTTTTCATTTCTGTAAAAGGTATTCAATTTTGATGAAACTTGGTACAAATATATTTCTTAATAATTATCACAATTTTATAAGAACAAAAGTTTTCCAGTTATTTGTGATTTTTTGAAATAAATTTTTTTAAAGAAAAATTCAATGGTGAAGTTTTTTTACTTCTGCTAGGACTTATGTTCTTCTCGGTAATTGTCAGGTTATGTTAGAAATGATATATAACAAAAGTATTTAATATTTATATTATAGACAACTTTTGTATTTGAAAATTTTGCCGGAAATTAAAAAAAAAAAAAATTAACCCCCCTTCCCCATCATTCACGAAACTTTTCAATTCTTTAATTTATTTTTATTTTGAGTATCATACCTCCACCTGCCTCCACTTTTTCATTTTTTTTTACCTTTTTCTGCTAATGTGCGTTGTCTAATAAGCAAGGAAACGATCAATACCTTTGTGTAAACACAAACTTCTTTTTTTGAGTTTGTCTGAAGCACAAAAAGTATATAACCTGAAATGAATTTGCTATTTTTTGTTTAGGTTCAGCTAACAGACGAATCCGCAGATCAGATGAAGAGTTACGGAGGGCGGCAGAATGTATCACACGTGGACAGACTTTCCAAACTGTAAGCGACCAATTTAACATACCTATTTCAACAATTCGATTCTATATGGCTCGAAAAGGAATCTTACCAAGGCGCAAAAGGGGCGTGCATGTGCGGGTCCTATGGGCATGGGTATGGGTATGAGTGGAATGCCTATTTCTACTTCATATACGTCTCCCGCAAGTCCCATAGGCCCACCTTACCATATCGTCCATTATAAGTTACCAGCCTTAGGTGTATCAAAGTTAAAATAAGTGTAGATCTTTCTACACCCAGTTATCTTAATTTTTCGATTTTATTTTTTTTTGTATTATTTTTAAACACATGTTTACTAGATTCGAGAGTATTTTTACCATTGAGTATATAAATTTAACTTGCAGAATTTTCTCTGCAAAACCCGAAGAAAATCTCAAATACCAGTAACTTTTATTTGCGTGCCACTTTTATCAACAATTTACCATATATCAGCCACATACATAAAACAGCAATTCAGTTGGATAATATTAATTGGTTTGGGTGTCTTGATTAGGCTCTGCCGTTTCAAAAACTTTCAGAAATTTCTATCACGAATTATTTAGTTCTTAGAGAATAAAAAACATGTACGTTGGGAGTTACTCAATTTGTTTTTCGCTCAAAACTACTAAAACAGTAAATTAGGGCCAATAAGTCAGATCGTAAAGTAACGTCACCTCCTAGTTCAATTTCTGATAATATACAACAAAATTACTAATAAGTCAACTAGAAATATGCCGGGTATCGCATTCCTCCACAATAAAGTAAAAATATATATATTGTACTCCGTATATTTGTACAATTTTTCATAATCTCAAAATTAAATGTGTGACCTTTAAATTAGCACAGTCCTAACTTGTTCTTTTCGATGTTATTGAAAACAGATTTGTCATAGGAACATTTTTATAACTCTTGCAGCTAATCGTTTTGTTTAATAGATAATATACATAAGAGCATATTCCAGAAAGATTTAAGTTTGATATAAAATTGAGTAGTTTATACCCACAAGTCTAAAAATCCTGCCTTGGAACCCAACAGACCGGCCAAATAGTGACTATATAGCGACTACTATCATAAAATTTTATATTTGATCATGACTGGCTTAGGAAATATCTATACAAGGAAATTTTTATTGTAATTGATACTGAATGATCAAACGAATCATCCAGATTGTTCTATCGAAATGTCAAAGCTTCTCGATACCCATAGTTCTTGTCAGCGAGATAAATCTTTCTGTGATGTATAGTTCCCGACGGTACACGCTATTTCTATGAATGTCACATCTCACGTTCTGCGTCAAATCTCACATAAAAATATCACTTTTCACATAAACGTTAAGTTCTGTGTCAAATGTCTCACAAGATTTACACTCTATGTCAAATAAAATATCACTTTTCACATGGAATGTCACGTTCTGTATCAAATTAATCCAATAGAAGCGAAGATGCGTACCTAAGGTCCCTTTGACATACCGACACCTTTAATTTTTTTTGTAATCTTATTCCATTCTTTAAATCCTATCAAGTAACACCTCGCACGTACCTATATGTTGAGACATTTCATCATCATCATCATCAGGGCTTTTCATTCTAGGTGGAATGTTTGTCGCTCTTACTTAGAGCTCTCTCTCGCTTATCCTCGGTGAATCACTCTGCATTCCACTTGTATATTGTCAAGGTTTGTTGTATGACTTGGCTTTCGTTACAATTTTCTTCCACTTATTTCGATATGTGCATAATTCCCTCCAGTTTCTCACTTCCAGAATTTGGATATCTCTCATGACCTGGTCCTTCCATCTCTCTCTGAGTCTTCCCCTTGGTCTTTCAGTTGCCGGTTTCCATCTGGTGATCTTCTTAATCAGTAGGTCGTTTTTCCTTCTCTCTATGTGTCCCTGACATCTCAGCGTCTGTGCTTTAATAAATCTAACTATATATTCTTCCTTCATGTCTCTTAGTTCATGGTTCATTATTCTTCTCATTTCTACGTTGTCCATTCTTATCGGGCCCATAATCCGTCTGAGGATTTTCCTGTCGAAAATTCTCAATTTTTCTTCATCTTTTTCCGTCAGGCACATTGTCTCAGCTGTGTACGTAACTACTGGTCTGATTGCAACTCTGTATATTTTCAGTTTTGTATTTCTGGATAAGTTCTTGTCCTTCATAAGCCTATGATATCTCCAGTATGTTTTGTTACCTGCTAGTATTCGTTCCGTTACTTCTTCACTTCCCTTGTTTTGGCCATTCACTATTACTCCCAAATATTTAAATCCTTAGACTCTTTCAAAAGTGTAGTTTTCTATTTTGATTTCTCTCGTTCTGTAATCTTCTCTGCTAGAGCAAAGTAGATATTTTGTTTTTCATTTCATTCATACACACGGACCTCTTTTCCGTGCTTCTTTCTTTTAATCTTTTAATCTTTCCTTGTCTCTTCCTATAAGAACTAAATCATCTGCATATGCAACTATTTAGGTTGAGGAGTGGGCTATAGTTCCTTTAATTTTGCTGGCCTTGACTGTTCCTTCTACTGCTATGTTGAATAATGTGGTTGACCAGGAATCGCCTTGTCGCACTCCTGTTTCTATTGCAATTGATGTTATGCTACCTTCTTCTGTTGTTACTTTAGCTAGAGCTCCATCCATGGCCATTTTTGTTAATCTAATTAATTTTGCTGGTATATCTTGATTTTTCATTTCAATAATTAATTTATTGCTTCCAATACGTTGAGCCATTTAGACACTACAAATTAAAGCCTTTATTTTACGCCGCCATCTTGGATTTTTTCATCGTATTCTACTTTTTAAAAATACTATCCGGAGGTATGCCGCATGCTCCTGTACGTTAAGCCGATTAGGTACAATTTTTG